TGTAAATATATTCTTGCATGCAGATTTGAAAGTTCAGGGGTTTGTTATCAGATGATACATGTTTTTAAATCTTTTCACTAAGTAATTTTCTCACTAAGCTGTTCAGCTTTCAAAGTGTTTACAGCCTTAGGCCTTAGCATATCTTTACTCAGACAGCAATTTCATCATGTCATACTAGGAAGAAAATCTTTATTTGGAATATGCACTACTGTACGTTTGTATAGCTCATATGCCTAAGACCTGTAATTAAGAAAGCCTTAATTACAGAAATTATATTCACAAAAAGCATTTAGTTCCAATTTTGTTTCTGTTTTTTAAAATGACCTGCTGTATTCAATAGGTGTACTAACACTGTTAGAAGCAGGGACCTGGAGCTGTCTAACAGATGTGTGTGGCTAATTTAGTATTTCCCTTGCATGAGGTCTGTGAGCTTCCATGCTGGTGGCCGCCTTCATAGGCTTGTTGGAAGTAGAAAGAACCCAGCCCACCCACATGCTTTACATAGACAGGCATTATTTTCTGTGGTGTATCTGTTAGCTCTCTTGTTACTTACTGCATGAAAGTGCACGTTGGGACATGGCCTTCAAAAAGTAGTAAAATGATACACCCTTTTTTTGCAGACCATGTTCAGGGTGTTAAAAATACTAAGATTGTCTCTTACTTTTGAAATAGTTATCACAGTCAGTGAAATTGCTTGTTTGAGTTTAGCCTTGATATTGTGAAAATAAACGTGATTTGGATGTCATGTTGATACTCATATTTTACAAGTGAATGGTTAAGAAGTTATGCATCATAAAAGAAATTAAGTGAGCAATATCGTAAGTATATTGTGTGCATACATTTGGGTATATTTTGTAAAAATGCTTATTCGTATTTTGCATCCTAACCTTTTTCGTCTTATAAGGATCTAGACTTCCTATCATTATGTGATTGTTTATGTGAAGCACATCTTGCTAGTGCCTTATTTTTGTTGCCTTTATTCATGACAAAGATGTTGATATGAGAATATATATGTTTTATGTAACAAAGTTAATAAGGAAGCTAAAAGAGTTAAAAAAAAAATAGCAAGTCCCATATGTGGAATGCATTCTGGTGTGCTCAGTACGGTACTGATGTCCTTACACGTATACTTCACATTTAATGCTCATGTAGCTCTTGTGTGGTAGGTAAATAATGGTTTTATCATTATACAGAGAGCTAAATTGAAGTGTGCAGAACCTAACTATTTTCTCAGGGTCACCGAGCTGGTCATTGATAAAATAGGGGTTCGAAACTTGACCTAAGGGATGGGAAAGTCAGGGCTTTTCTATTAGATTTATAGTTTGAGAGCAAGATGATGCAGTTCTCAACACTTCTCTTTCCTGTGGGCTTCTTGTCTTTCCTGAGCCCTGGATAAAAATCTTGTTGGTCTTGTCCCAGCCTCCTCACTGATGAGTGCAGAATGTTATTATCATATTAATTCTTTTTACAGATAGTCAGCTGCCCTTCATTCTCTATCCAGTCTGTTTTTGTTTTTTGCTAGGGATTGAACATGGTGCTCTACCACTGAGCTGTATGCCCAGATCTTTTGTATTTTATTTTCAGACAGTGTTTCCCTAAATTTCCCAGGCTGGCCTCCAGCCTATGGTCCTCCCACCTCAGCCTCCCAAGTAGCTGGGATTATATGAGTGAGCCACCATACCCAACCCCATTTTACTTCTTAATTATTATTACATTTGGGTTTTTATTGTTAGATTTTTTTCTCAGTTTCTCAAAGAACAAAATAAAATGGGCTTTCATTCATGGTAATCTTTGTGCATTAGGAGATTTTCCAAGACTTAGTGAAAGTAAAACAGGGAGAGTTTAACATCAAGACCCAAGGTCCCTTCTAGGAATACTAGAGTCTGCCCAAAGTTTATGGTGTGTCTCAGGTTCCAAACCTCAAAAGATGACATGATGGCTGGGCTAGTGCGGACACAGACTCACTGTTTCAGAAGCAGTGGCACAAATGGAGCAAAGAGGGAAAGGGTGGGAAAGAGAAAGAAAAGCAAAGAAGCTCAGAGAGCACACCTTGTTGACGACTGAGGATGAACTTAAAAAGCCTGGAAGTGGAGCTGGCAGGAAAGCCATAGAACACCTGGAAGAATAAGACCCAACCCAGGACTTCTTGTGTGTTTTACCCTGTTCCAGGCACCAGTTGAGGATATGGGGTATTGGATATGGTGTGTGTTGAAATTTTTTAAAATTTATTTCAGTAAAGACTCATCGCCGTTGATCCTCCTCTAAGTACTCCCCTTCACTCTGAACGCACTTATCTTGTTCTTGCCACTTCCTGATGCAGTTCTAGAAGTTCCCTTTCATTATCCTGTCTGCCTCAGTGTCCTGAATCAATTCAAAATGCTTACCTTTCATGGCCATTTTAACTCTGGGGAAGAGCCGAATCTTTGACTTTGGTGCCACATGCAGTGAAGAAGATGGATGAAGATACACCATCAGGTTTACATGAGCCTGCCTTTCCCTGGGGTGGATTTGGAAGCAACATGGACCATATTTTTAAGTGGTACTTCATAAAGAAAAAGAGGGGAGAGTTGGCCTTTTCTGTTGTCACAACAGGAGCTACTGGCAGCTGGTGGGTAGGGGCTAAGGTCTGCTGAACCTCCTGCAGTGCTCCTACCACAAAGAGTTGTCCAGCCCAGAATGTCAACATTGTTAAAGCTGAGAAACCCCTGAAAGCAATGTGGGTTTACTAATCTGTTGAAACCAAATAACAACTTTTGTTGCTCAGATCTCGGAATGTATGGTGCACAGTTGCTTAGGATGTAAACAGTCTCAGTGTATTTTGAGAGTACACAGAAGCACATTAATAGTTAACCTTTGCAGTTACTGACCACAGCCAAGGAAATCCTAGAAAGTAGGAACACACTTCCTGCCTGGAGAACCTTTGACCACATCACTCCTTAACTGACAGAGCAGCGTTTTAAATCCACTGCAGCATTATTCATCTTTTTTCTGTCTTGTCTTTTTCTCTTTTTCTGAGAAAGGAGCGCACTAGGTTTCAAGCTTGAACTTACTGTGTAGTCCAGGCTGACCTTGCACTTGGGGAATCCTCCTGCCTCAGCTTCCATTGTACTCAGATTACAGGTGTGCACCACCACACCCAGTTGTCCCTCTGTTTTCTGCAGTCTGTTCTACTGAGGATTTAATATCTCACTTGTTTAGTAAGTCAAAAGATCAGTTTTCCTTAGATGCCAAAGACAACTTAGGTGTTAATAGAAGGCTCACTGTCATAGAATCCCTTCTCAGAGATGACTAAAATTTGAGACTCTTCCTTATTTGGTGCCCATGGAACTGTTAGTAAAATAGTTGCAAAGAGTAATTGTCTTGGCTTACATTCCAATGGCACATCTTAGCCAGTAGTACAAGTGACAGACACAGGTAACCTCAGCTAAAGCAAAATGTTATGCAGCCCCCTCTCTCTATTAAAAATACTTGCTAGCTGGGCATGGAAGTGCATGCCTGTTATCCCAGCAACTGGGAGGCTGGGGCAGGGGGATTTCTGGGAGCTCAAGGTCAGCCTGGGCTACATAGTGAGACCTAGTCTCAAAAAGAAAAAAAAAAAAAAAAAAACTGCCCACATCAGTGTAAACTTTGTCATGAACTTCTCATTTTGTTTGTTTAAGTTTAATTTACACTGATGATACTAAGACTAAACCCAAGGTTTAGTTCATGATAGACAAATGTGTTATCATCAACTATCCTGCACTTCTTGAATATTTTTCTTTCTTTATCCTTTGCTTGTAAAATAGCTTTGTGTTTAGCTCAGTGTTTTATTCTGAAAGCCCTTAAGAATTAAAATCACAAGGTTTCAAAAGTTCATATCATTCTCCTCAAAGACAAATGTGCAATGACAGTAGCTTTATCTACATGTATGTTATGAAAGTGTTGAAAATTAATTCACCTAAGTTTCCTATCTGTGTTTTCTTTACCTTGAACTTCCTAAAAATTAACAGATGGCTGTCTCAAAATGGTCACAAATGAACATGTCACTTAAAAGCCACTGTTTTTAGTTCCTATACATTTTAAAATTATTATTACTGTAATGGTAATTAAGGAATGAGTATTTCTCATCAAAGTCTGGCTGCACTCAGGCAATTACGTAAGCTTGTATTGCTTCCTACCATATCCAGTGCACAAACCTAGCTCCATTTATACATCACTTACCTTCTACTGGCTAATTATTTTGATTCTAGCACTACTTCAAATACAAGAGGGCCATTAGCGAGCTTACAGCAATAGGCTTTGTTTTCATTTGGCAGTGTTGGGGGTCAACCCAGAGCCTCAGGCATGCTAAACAAGTGGTCTTTGTTACTTTTATCTTGTTGCTGAGACAAAATACCTAAGGCCCAAAATTGAAGAAGGAAAGATTTATTTAGCTCACAGTTTGTGGAGGTTTCAGCCTATAATCAGTTGGCTCCAAAGCAGGGAGGCATGGCAGAGGGTCTACAGCTCATGGCTGCATAAGACAGCAAAAGCAGCAGGAGCAAAAAGGGGGAGGGAGAGCAAGCTGTTTTTTCTCCCTCATCTTGTATGTAGGGCAGGTGCAGAACTCACTGCCAAGTCCAGCACTAGATAATGAGCCAGTCACAAACTCCAGATTCAGCCACCTCCACAAAGCCCCCATCACAACCACATGAGGCTTTGGGGGGGACATCTAGACACAACTATAACTATACACAAGTACTATGCCACTGGGCTACATCCTCAGCCCAGAACAGTGATACTTAGCTGGAGATGCATTGGCAGAGGTTTTTAAAATCCCAAAGTTTTAGCACATCCCAAGCTAATAAGTTCAAAATTACTAGGGATGGAATCTCATCCTTGGAATTTTCTGGAACTCCCCCAGTGATTCCAGGGAGCATCAAAGGCTGAGAGCCAGAGGTTTAGAAGAAATTCTAACTGACAAACAGAAGCAAAACACCCAAGTGACATTTGTGACCTTACTGGGGCATATTTATTTTCAGGTATTTCGGCACGGAGACAGAAGTCCTATTGAAACCTTTCCTAATGATCCCATTGAGGAATCCGCATGGCCAGATGGATTTGGTCAACTCACTCAGGTTGGTTGGGGATGTCCAGTTAAAGTTGTTGATGAGTCTTGGTGGTAAAACATGCAGAATTGTTTGTTTTGATAGATTTTTTTTAGTCTTATTGCCTTTATTTAAGCGTGATAGATGTATGTGAACGATAGAATATATGAGTTTAAAAATCCTGAAAAGAACTGAAAAAAGACATTAAGGCAAGCATATGAGTTTTCCAGGCTTCATTTGAAAAAAGAGGAGAAAAAGTCTGCCAATTAATAAGTTGCATGAATCCTCAGGGTTGGGGAATCATAGCTCTTTGGAAAATGATGATATTGGAATTTTATTTCTTATCAGCTGGATAGGTTGAAATTGGAGCTTCCTGAAAGCCAGCAGTCCCCAACTTTTCTGATACCAGTAACCACTTTCACAGGAGACAATTTTTCCACAGGTCAGGATGGTTCAGGAGCGTTTTATTCATCATGCACTTATGTCCATTATTATTTCATTGTGCAGTTTATTTTTATTACCTTAGAGTCTCATAAGGAGCATGCAGCCTAGGAACCTAGCATGCAACATTCATAGTGAAGTTCTCACCCTGTGAGAATCCCGAGCCTCTGCTACTCTGACAGGAGGCAGAGCACAGGCAGTGGTGCGAATGAGAGGGACAGGCTGCGAATACACAGGAGCTTTGCTTTCCTGACCTTGCCACTACCTTCCTGCTGTGCAGTCCAGTTCTTAACTGCACCTATACTGGCTGAGGTCCCTGTTAGCAGAGCTTTGGTAAATACAAAAAGCCCTACTTTTGAAAGCCTCTGCAGAGAAGCAGAACTGGGGAACAAAGTCATCTTAGTTGCTTTCCCAAGACTAATCTGCCTCACTTGAAGGAAAAGAGATGAACCATATACTTAAATTGGGTCAATCACCAACTGTCAAACGAACGTTTAGCGCAAGTCTCTATTAAGTGCTAACAAAGGTGAGTAGGTATGTATTCTCAGAAAGTCAGAGTCCTGACTCAGAATCACTACTTTCCTTTCCTGTTTTCATTTAAATTTGTATTTTAAGGTGGAACTATTGAAGCATGCCTTGTTCATTCCAATGTACAATATACAATGAAGAGAAATGACACAAGTTTCTATGGTAATGTGATTCACACTTTTCCTAATTTTTACATTTTTTTTTCCTATAGCGGGGAATGAAACAACATTATGAACTTGGAGCATATTTGAGGAAAAGATATGGAAAATTCTTGAATGAGTCCTATAAACATGAACAGGCAAGTCGGGGAGGCAAGAAAGGAAACCTTGTCTCTTGAAAGAGTTAGAATAATTCTGCATATGTAAAAATGTTTTGCCTATTTTCTAATTAACTTACCCAGTCAGAGATATTGTTTATAAATATTTTCCTCATTGTAAAACTTTTTCATAAGAATGTATGAATACGAGTAATTTCAAAATTCTGCAGGTAGCTATGTAAATAGTATGACTTGGCAGGTGGCCACTGCTTGCTTGGTATTATTTATCACCTCAAATGTTAGCCTACTAGGTTTCTCTGTCCCATGGTATGTTCTTAACATTACCTGACCTATTGTAGACATTGTGCTTGTGACATTCCCAAAAAGCATGCTGAGGATTCAGTGTGAACATCCTGCTCTTTTTCTAATACCTGTCAGAAAGAAAGTAAACCCCACATTTCCTCTAATTTGGCTTCTGCCTTGATTTTCAACTCTAGGTTTACATTCGAAGCACAGATGTTGACCGGACTTTGATGAGTGCTATGGTAAACCTGGCAGCCCTGTTTCCCCCACTGGGCACCAGCATGTGGAACCCCAAGCTCCTCTGGCAGCCCATTCCAGTGCATACAGTTGCTGTCTCTGAAGATCGGGTCAGTATACAGGGAGGTTGGAGAGACCACATGAGCCAGGAAGGAGGGAGATGGGCTTCTTGGGCTTGCTCAGAATCTGAAAGTTGAACCCCAGTCCCTGGGCCTGTCTAAGCAGGTGCTGTAGTCTGTGAGCTATCTGGCTGGCCCTCCAACATTTTTATGTGTCATCATTGTGCTACCTTCAACAGCTCATATACTATATATGCCATCATATTAACCTTTTGTAACAACCTGAGGGACAACAGTACTGTACTCTTAAATAGCAAGGGGAAAAGTGTTTTCAGAGACATTAATAACAAACAAAGTGGTTTAAAGTCACATGGCTGGGAACCACCGCTTTAGGATCAAAACGAGAACTTTTGAACCCCCCACCAATCCTCTTCCCTAAATTGTATATTAGAAACACCTGCAGAATTTTCATAACTTCCTAGGCCCATGGCACTGCTCATAACAAGTCAGAGTTTCTGAGGGTGGGACTCAGGCACAAATATTTCAAAAATAATCTCTCTAGATGGCTCCATGGACAGCCAATTTTGAAAGCTAATACTGTCTTGGTTACTTTTCTCTCATTGCTGGGACAAGATACCCCACACTCAAAATTAAGGGAAAGGTGTATGTAGCTCACAGTTTGTGGAGGTTTTAGTCCATAGTCAGTTGGCTCCAAGGCAGCACAGTACATGGCAAAGGGCAACAGCTCATGGCAGTGGCGAACAGTAAAAGCATCAAGAGCAAAAAGGGAGGAGCAGCAGGCAGACAGCAAGCCTCTTTCCCTCCTTCATTATTGTATGTAAACTGCCACCCCAGGGTGGGTGTAGCACTCACACCCACAATCCCAGCATTAGACCATGCATGAATCAAAACTTGAGAAGCCCATTTCATGACTGCATGAGGTTTTGGGGAGACATCTAGACACAAACCATAACAAGTACCATAAACCAAGCTGCCAGAATGGGGCAGAGAGATACTCTTAAATTTATTTACAGAGGGTAGAATTCACCAAGATCACTTTGACCTTTTCACGGGAACTCGAAATATTTAGAATAGTAAAAATTTCCAGGTGTGGTGAGGTCTAATGGTAATCCCAGCACTTGGGAGGCTGAGGAAGGAAGATCGCCACAAATTTGAGGCCAGCCTGGACTACCTAATGGGTTCAAGGGCAGCCTGAACCTCATAGTGAGACCTTGTCTCAATAAATAAATAAATAAATAGATAGATAGATAGATAGATAGATAGATAGATAGATAGATAAAATAGTAATAAATAAACCTAATCTCTCAGTGTGGCACTTAAGGCTATATGAAGACAATAGTTTGGGACAAAGACTAATTCTCTGCTGTCACATGACAGACATGACTGTCTATCTTAGGCTACTTTCTTTTTCTATAACAGCACCACAGACAGGTAGCTTATTACAAAAAAAAGAAAAATGGAGGTTCATTTGCTGATCATTCTGGAAGCTGAGAAGTCCAAGAACACAGTGCCAGCAGCTGCCCTCTGAGAAGGGCCTTCATGCTGGGTGGGGATATAGCTGAGGGTGGCCCAAGTGAGACAGAGCAAGTGTGTCAGAGAGTGCTCACTTTTATACCAAAGCCACTCATGCAGTGACTCATTAATCTATGGATTGATGCATCACCTCTCAAAGGCTCTGGCTCTCAACACCACTGCAACACATGACGTATTGAAAACATAACACCATCGGATCTCTCTGTGGCTGGAGGCTCAACGTAAACGCAGGGTTTTGCCCAGTGACATCTAGGAGGTAATAGTGTCCTCTTTATTCTGCCATTATGCCTACAAATTTATCTTGATTCCTTCATCCAATGACTAACAAATTTTTCCCAAATGCTTTTGTAGAATCATTTACAAAAGTTTCCATGTCAATTCACCCAAAGTTATA